TATGAAAAATTATTAATTTATTCAGTTCACACTTTTTAATATAATTGAAATAATTATGTATTTCATTATTTGTTAACTATATAGATAAAATTGATTATATGTTTTTTTTATATATCAACATCAGGTTATAATTGTTGTGACATTCGACGTACAATTTTTCTCTTTTTAGCATGTCTTAACAATAATAACACTGTGGAAGGCGAAATTTCAAAAAATATTTCTGATGAAGATCCATCTTTTCTACCATCAAACTTCGTCTAATGAAAGAAACGTTGAAGATGTGATAGACCAAGCAACAACTGTTACTGCACAAACTAACAGTTCAGCAAATATTTCTAGTGGATTAGACATATCGATGTCACTAAACATATCAGGTAAATGTGCTCGAGATGATACAGATACTATCCACACAAAAGAAAAGATCAGAAACTTTGGCCGAGGTGCTTGTGTGTATCTGTAGGTATTCTTTTTAGTTTCTGATCTTTTCTTTTGTGTGGATGGTAGAAAATTTATTAAACTCGAAGATATTTTTGTAAGTTGAAGTAATTCTAAATGAATACTCTAAGAAGTTCTGAGAAACTCCAATCATGGTGCATGTAACTTCCTACAGCAGTCTCATAGTATTCTACCACGAATTCCTAAAGAATTACACTTCTGAAAAGAAGAAAACTTTAGGAACACTTAAAGAATTCATTGTGCTATCTGGGTTCACTTGGCGTAAATTTACTGATCTCATTTTTTTTTTTTTTTGAAAATAGCAATGGAATAACAAAATATTTTTTTAATATTTTATCAATAACTGCATTTTTCTAATATATTTTTCTAAAATATTAAATTAAAATTTTTTTAGTACAATTTCTGAGCAAATCGCGTGCACTTGGCGCTTTTTCTTACCTTTTTTTGAAAACATAATTTTGCACGGTTTTTATATCTCTATATCTTTGAGTACAATGCTAACTTTTTCCCAACCTGATTATTTTCATATAATTATACATATGCGTATTTATATATACGTATGTGTGATGTTTTTATCACTCTACATTTTTTCAAATGAGCGCTTATATCATTCATAATAGGTTAATTATTATTTCTAATATAGGGTACTAAGTTTTGTTTTGTATCTTTCATAAACTTTTATTTTTTATAATTTGTGTCGTTTATAAACGGTATATCTTTTATAAACTACATATAAAAACTATATATAAACTATAACATGTTGTTAACTATAATGTATTATTAACTATATATTCTTTATGAACAAAATAATTATGTTTAAATTTATATATTTTTTTTCTTAATATGTTTTTGGTTGTGTATCCATGTTTTAATCATAGGCACATTTCGGTGTGCTAATAAGTCGGAATATTTTTTAATAAGTCTTCCAATTTCGTTAAATGAAGGTAATTTGTTGTCATCAGAATCTATATAATGCTGGAAGGTATCGAGAACAATACGTTTTTCATCTCGTGTCCATCGATTGCGATTAAATACTGTAAATACAAAAAAATATTTATTAATTCACGTACTGTATCTGACGGTTGACGCAAACATTGCATACAAACAGAACTCATCAAACTGAATATAAAATTCCTCTAACATTTTTAAACGACCACATCAATTTTCGAGTTATTAATTAAAGAAAAATAGTGAATGATTACAACGTAATATGGTAGATAAGCTGGGACGTCTATCGCAGCGATGTCTATCACAGTGTACTTGTATATTAGGTCAAAGTGAATGAAAAAGTCTTTTATTATTTAACAAATTACCATGTAGATTTTTAGTTATTAATTAAACAAGATTGGTGATTCATAATGCACCACTTAAAGTCTTCTTTAATTAATAAGTAAAATGTACGTGTTTATTTGTGCAATCGTAAAGAACTTTTTCGTTCCGTTCAATCTAATCTACAAGCATTTTAATAACTTAAAATTTTACATGATTGTTTGCAAAATAGTAGAGGAATGTTGTATTCCGTTTGATAAGTTTTACCTGCAATACAACGCATATAATAATTGTCGAACACCTAATATAATTGTCTCTAAAGATTTACAAGTAGCATTTTATCTATATTTTCTAAAATATTTAAAGGTTTATATAAAATTCTATTGTTAAAACTCTATATGTGTATTAAAAATTAAACCATATATTTTTCACTTACTTTTCATTGTTTGTTGAGAATCCTGCGGTAGACGTTTCTTAATCCGTTTTTCATTTTTATTTACTTTGTTTCGATCATTTTCTATATTATCATCTAAGAAATCCGATGACGTATCAAGCTCATTAACACCTCTAGTATTTGGCGACGTATCAAGTTTATTAATATCTGTAAGAAACATTTGTATGAATGTATGACTGGTATTTATAGGTCGATTTTATGTTTAGAGTCTTAAGGTCGTCTTCAGAAGCTACAATAATATTGAATAAAAATTTCAATTTTCATTTATACAAGAATATAGTACCTTGCTGAAAGTCTCCAATTGTTCTTCTCAATGTAATTCCCTCATTAATTCCATCAGCGGTATCCACGGTCTTCTCCGTCATGTTTTCATTTTCTGAGAGTTCACAGTCAGATTCGTTACTATCACTTTCATTCTGATCAGCTCCTTGTGCCGCTTCTAAATATTGAGATATTTCCAAAATGTCTTTTTCTATAACAGGTTGTCTGTAATGAGTTAAATGTATTTTCTCAGCATGGCCCATAAAATTTGCAAGCGTTGAAACGTCATTCTCAGATAAATTGTAATTAACACATATTGTTGCTATATGTTTCCGTAGTTCAGTTGCACGAATAGTTTCTGGATTTTCTGCGCCACTTTCTATTGCATATTGCCGCAATAAATCACACGCTAAAAGATATCTGTATTTATCCTTTTTAAGTGAAGGAAGACCAAATAAGTATGGATTTTTTGAAGAAACTTTCACAGCTTTCCTGTGTTTCAAAATCATCTCGATACAGTCTCTTAATTCTGCCGTTAGTAAAACTGGTACTGTTCTACCAAGTTTACCTCTTAGAGTAAAACGTACATATTTCTTAGCTATTTCTTTCGCACGTACTGAAAGCGCTTTATACAAATCATTTGTTTAATAATTAATTCCTTGATAATTCTTATAATCCTCGATGAACGTTCTTTGTATTTGTCCAGCTCTACGATGATTAAATACTTGTATCGAAGTCAGTGTTGTAAGGGAAAGCCATGCATCATAAGAAAACTTTTCTGTCAAGGAATTATAAACCGTTTCACGTGTTTGTTTTAAATAGTTATGCAGCTTAATAATATCTGCTTTAGAGGGTAGAACAACTTTTTTACGTCTCACATTTCGACTCATTGTTTCCAATATTGTTTTAGAAACATGTGTTGTAAAATCTTCTGTAAATACTTTTAAGAAATCTTCAGCACGTAATTTCCGTTCTTCGTTTTCTTTTCTAATACATCGGTTGATTACAAGTTTACCTATTTCTTTTATCAAACCTCCGAGTGCAGACGCCAGTGATGGAGTTTTGTAAAATTTGGCACATACAGATAAGCCGGCTAAGATATTGATTGCTTCGATGCAAGCACTGCTATAACGTGGAAAAAAAATGGAAGCTAAGTCCGTAATTTCAGAATATTTTGATTTCAATATTTGTAGTAGGCGACCTATCCTTCTTATTTTTTGTCTTATCATCGCATCATTATGTTCAGATGTTTTATATTTTTCACATTGTTGATTACCAAATGCGATTATTAATTCATCATAACGTATAAGTCTGACTATATTGTCTTCTCTTAAAATTGGAAATACTCGTAATCTTAAAGCATTGCTTGCTTCATAATGTATACGTCCTATTATTTGTCTTCCTAAAACCGGTATCGATCTACTATCTTTACTTCTGAGTGTAGTAATACATCTGCGATAGTGATGTCTACTTGTAAGCTTCAAAACGAAAACTTTACATTTTGGACATGTGACATAATCACAAGGTAATCTAAACATTACAAAATAAATTGCTCCAATTAACAAAAATATAGAATAAAATGCTCTGATGATTACAATAATCAAAATTAATATTAACAAACTTGTGAGAACTGAGCGACGTATGAGAATAT